CCAAAAAAAAGAGAAAAAGATGATAACCAACAACAGTGCTTAAAAAGGAAAGTTACAAATCAAAAGCACTCGAACCTAAACAACCTAATGCAAACAAAACAAGAATCAAAGAATATTTAAACTACATGTACATGTACAAATCATGAAGGTGAATTATGTGAAAACAGTAAATTACAGTAGATGTCAAATGGAAACTGAGAAAAACACAACTCACTGAGTTTACACATGTCCATTGACTGAATACATGTATTATAGAATCTCACATGTGGCATAAACACATACTGCAATGTACATGTATACTGGCCAAAATACATTAAGACTAAAGGTAAACTATGTGGCAGAATATTTAGTGAGTTCTAAGTACTCAGGCTGGACACAGCACATGGCACAGTTTCATTGATGGTTGTACCCTCCTGAGGTCAATCAACTCTGAATAAACAAACTGACCACATGTACTAGAGTGGTCACCAGTCATTCTACACCTCAAACACCGAGTCAATGTGTGTACAAACAGGTCAAGGTGGGCACTAAAAGCAAAGTAATATCTGTAATGCAACATACTGGCATCGAGTCTAGATTTAGCACATGCTGCTTAAACAATGATTCCTTAGAATATTCCTTGGCGGCCACTAAAAACTTGTCATTTTATCAAGGAATGCTAATTGTCTTCCAGAGTACTAAACCAAGATAAAATTAATAATGGACGAATCACTGTTCTCATGAGTTTGCGATGGTGAGAACTACAATGAAAATTCTTTCATTTCAAAGTTAGAGAGGCAAATGCTATTCTCTTACCCAAAAAAATACATCAAAATCAAAAGACCAGAGTACTGAGCTTTCCTTTTTACAAACTTTCACAAATCCATTGATCCTAGGATGTGCTTTCTTTGAAGCTGTATACAATTACTTCATTCAGGCAAATAGTGCAGCCTACATGTACATGTTGCCTTATTTACATCTGAGATCAATGACGGAATCAGTCATGCCTTGGAAAAGTTTAACACAAGAAATAGAATAATTTAGCATGTGCACATGTCATTTCACCTTATAAATCCAGCAAGTACTCTGAGATAACACAAACTATGATCTTCCCTAAGGCTTATTTGAAACTAAAGTTCACACTAAGAGATGAAGAAACTTTGCTCAAATCTAAACAGACACTTCTCCCTTGAATCTGTCCACAAAGTACATGTACACGGCCATAAACAAAAGCAAACCTTATTATAAGAATAATACAACAGCACTTATGAATAGATTTGAAATGAAAACAAGAAAGTTTAGCGACACTTACCAAGTCAACAGCAGACCAGATTTTCGAGGCAGAATTTAAGAATAAAGAAGGAGCAAGAAAGGCTTGTGATGTACTAACTCCACTGCCGGCCTGCAAACTGAGAGGCTACTTGGAAAAGCATGATCAGGGAAGTGTCCTGGCCCTAATTTGCATACAATGTAAGGGGCTGCCCTGCTAAAACCAAGGGGCACAACTTAACTCCCACAAGGATGAAGCAAGGTGTAAAGGGGGTGTCATATTAACCACAAACCTTTTGAGGTTAACACTCCTACATGTATATAAAGTACAACTGGAAATTGCCTCCACCACACCAACAACCATGTGTTGACACGTGTTGACGTTGTGTTGACGTTAATTAGTACGACCACCTAGCCTACATCATCATGTACGCGTCCGTGTGTAAGAATAGTATGAAAAATTCTAGGTATTTTTCTAAGTAAACGACTTGGTTTTTTCCCTTCTCAATTGAACTTTTCTGGACATGTTTTTGCTTTCTGAAGGCTAATCAGTTGCGTCCGTATATGGAGGTTTAGGAATAATAGTACTGGAACTCCTCCCCCTTCACGTTAATTTTAGAGGCCAGATCTGTGCCGGCGCGGTGAAGTGCAGTGCCTACCTTGAAGTTGAATTTTATCTCGTCCTGTTTCCACTCAGGCTGTTTTTAACTTAAGTAATTTCAGCGCCACTTCCTCTTAATTATCCTCATCTAGTGTGAAATGGACTAGTTACACGCCATCTCGGGACATTTTGTTTATAAAAATGTAGGTAACTCTGCAGTTTAGCTTTTAGTTAAAACATGAGCTCATGATATGAGCACACGTGGGTTGGCCCAGTTCAATGTGGTCTGGTCCCTGCCCACTCTGTGTTGTTATTACAGTTACAGAACAGTTACAGAATGAGACCATCCGGCGGTCGGGTCACAACCTTCTCCCCGAGGCGTTTAACGGTTGGTACATGTACTGTACATGCACACGTACAGTACATATGTAGTTAAAAGTCCTCTGCCTGTAAACCAATGCGGGAATTTCACAGAAGTGGGCCTCCAAGAGTTTGCAATGCCTTGGCCAATCACAATGTGCGAAATTTGTCGACCTAATGCGCGTTTGGAAACGGTCGACAAATTTCGCGCGTTAATTGTGGTTGGCCAACGGTGTTGCAAACTCTTGGAGGCGCACTATTGTTAATCGCCCGTATTGAGATTATACGTTAAGGGTGCAGTGTCCCAATTCAAGGAAAATTCTCCGCCAGGCGGAGGCGCACAAAAAGTCCC